CCACTTCGGGATGTATTCGGTGACTCGCTGTGATAGTTGCTGATCACAACTGCAAGTGAACTGATACACAACATGGGGGAGAGAAGAATTTCGCAAATTACTTTCGCGATTGCGAAGAACTGGTCATGTGTTGGTTTGAGACAGGCGCAACTGTGCAGCCGCATGCGTTCGCGCTAGATCAGACGTTAATTTGTGTTTCATGTCGTTGGATAGATGGTCACCTTTGAATGGCAAGAATGGGAAAACATCCTTCTTTTGAGCCGTCAGTATGGGCTCAGTGCTCTTCTTCACCGTATTATGTACCCTTATGAATTTGTCGGGGTATCCATTTGCTAGTAACGTTTGTCTCAGCAATTCCTGTTCCATCTGCAGTGTATCGGGGTGCAGATACGCCTGGCTGTATGAAACAGCTTCGGAACTAAGCCCCGTTTGTACGAAATAGGAGCAAAGCTGAATAACTAAAGATATTGATCACCCCATGTCACCTCGTGGTGAACTGAGCACTGTAACGTGCCATCCGCACATCTAATAAAAAGTACATCCAAAAATGGTAAACTATTGTTAGATTCAACTTCGTGAGACAAAGATAATTTGAGGTGAACATTAGTCAGAAAGTTGAAAAAGATCAAAATTGTTGATTAATGGGAGCGAAACTCGGGCTTAGAGTTTCTGATGTTCAAAAGGGTTCGACTGGAAAGTCTATGTGAATGCGACAGCTGTGATCAACTGTGAGTGATGTTCAATCCATATGAAAACCAAAATCCCCCACTACTCATCAGTAATCAAATACCGCCCAACAAGTCAATGATTTCTGTGATTTTAACTTGCAGAGAAGTCTTAGTTGAGGGGTCATCGATTGAAGTTAACAGACAGTAACCGTGTCTCCTCTCTAGGCGATCGTGCAACTTGATCATTACTCACAAGCGAAAGTGGTTGGGCGTTCACATGTGACAGTTCGGTCGTACCTAATGTGAGGTCATTAGCGCAGTGGTAAACACAATTCCCTCATGAAAGCGTGGTCGGAATTCTAGTCCCGGTAGTGGCGAGGATATGCACTACTGACGAGCTCTGATGAGAGTGAAACTCGAGTCTAGTACTTCTTTTTGAAAGGGGCCAACTGGAAAGTCTATGAGAATGCGAATGCTGCGATCAATTGTAAGTGACGTTCAATCTATTAGTTAAATGACAATGAAACGTTCTGGAAACAAACTTGAGGGATCCCACAATGGCAAATTCTGATGCTGAATTGATGATAAGAGGTTAGGAAAGCATTTGATAGAGTAAGGTGTTAGCTAACTCGAAGGTTCAAGTTTGGAACCAGAACAATAACGCGTACTAGATAAAACCTTAAAAACAGATGTAATTTTACCAAAAGAATGGAAGGAAACTTAACATAAAACCAAAACGTAAACAAAAGTGATAAATTGGAAAGATAGAAGATATTTTGTGTTCACTGTCCCAAAAGTAAAAAAAGAAATGGGTTCTGCTGAATGTGCGTGTTTGCATAAATGCAAAAGACACATGAGTTGAATTGTCTGAATTTGTGAATTCACTTTCATCTTGTTGACAATTTGTCATTGTTGTGTTGTCATCCGTAAGACAGCATTGCATTCGTTTCACTGACAAACAGCAGAACCACATCGATCTGCGATAATGATTTCCATTCCTGGTCCTCTGCATAGTTGCACATATAAACAATCGTTTCTACTCTCGATATGTCGTATGGTTTCATTCTCTCACCAATTAAGATTGACACTACAAAGTGATAGATTAACCTGGCAGAGTAGATTCCAAAAACCTGGGTTTAGTTTAATTCTAGTTGATTGAATGACAACTGCTTCAGCCTAAGCTCGCCTACCGTTTTGTGTATATGACTTAGTCAAACCAGGTTAACTGAAACTGTCTTTAAATTCGTCTACATCTAATTGGAAAAGTTGTCTATGTTCATATTCCTTTCCGGTTAGTGAACGCCCATGATGCGCCTCACACAATACTATTGAAAACAATCTGGATAATACGGGTTTCGTTGATGCGAGGTCCTCATTAATCTGCTGTGTAATAGCCTAAGAATCGCTAACGTCTTGTGTACCAGTTGTTAGATTCATGCCTTCAGACTGCAGTTTCTCGTGACAGGCTTAACCAGGTGATCAAAATCGGCGCCGTCTTTATCCACGTGGAATTCTTTCAACAGTTCTTCAAATTTCCAATGATGTTATTAACAAGAGGGTCCACCGTCTACAAGATAATGAAGAGCAGAAAGCTTTGAATTCAGTTTATTTATTAATTGTTTTATAGCTGATTAGGTGAGGTGTAAGTTTGCACAAGCTGTGACACTCTACGGCCAGTTTCGTTCTGATGAATTTAAACAAGTACAAAAGCGATCGTGATGTGTCAGCTTCATGGGTGAACGTTGAAAAGCATTAGAAAAAGCTACACTTTTGTCGACACTTATTCCGAAACTAACGTATCTAATCACACGATCTTTTTCACTTACTATGCGATTGGCTCAGTCCGCATATAGCCTTTTACAAACAACAACCTAAGAATGTCCAAATGATAATATAAACGGTCAACTGTGAAGCTATCATGGCTTTTACAAAGTAAATTCAATGTTTACATGACTAAACTTGAACATTTCAAGAATATTTTGCTACTAGCCAAACGTATTATGAACAAACTTGCCATAATGAAACATGTATGGATGATTACGTTTAATCTGTCACATAAGTCGATCCGGAAGAGCTGTACTGTTGGCTGATGATTATTCATTTTGCACTCACCATTAAACTAACAAAATGCCTGTCACACTACCTGCAGAATTGTATGTAAAGGTGAGTTTCAGACGTTATTTATGCTATTGAAAGAATATTTCGGCGGAACCACTTTTTGTAGACTGAGTTAAAGTGAAACCATCAGGTAGAGTTTAACAGAGACTTTGAGACAATTCAGCTAACCAGCCATGCCACATTGACTCTGTGTAAACCAGACGGTAGCTTTTAGAAAGTCAGCAAACTATCCGTGTTTTAAAAGAAAATTCCAAAAAATATCACTTGAATAGCTATTTAAATCTATTTATTGAAATAAACAAGACATGCTTATGGTTTTTGATGATAGGTAAATCACAGTAGTAAAATTCCACATGAGGTAGCACAATCATATTGCGAGCACATAACATTGCTAAAAATAGAACAGTTACTTGGCAAAGCTCACCTCTGTAACTCAAACATACGTAGGAGATGGCAGAACATGCTCATGGTATCTGAGTGATTCACGCCGAATGAGTGGGGCATGTCAACTGCTAGTAAAGTTGAGCTGTATAACGACGTCGTACGGTTAATGTATACAGAAACTCAGCGGTTTACCACAATAATCAGTGTACAAATCCACTAGAAAGAACAAGCAGCGCCAAGCTCAACCTTTTGCTTTTTGTCAAGTTGATAAACCACTAGTTAGTACGCGGGTTCCATCGCAGTTGCAGCAAGTTGTACCATTTTATATCGCAGGATTAAACATAAAATCAAGTCTGTCTAAAGTAACATTTTCAACAGATACACAATTTTGCATTTTCTGGGCCCATTCTGTTTAGTTTCAGTGGTTTTCTGGTCTTCGAATGTTCCAAACCAGTGTATTGCCTTGAATGATGGGAGCAGTCTGATCATAGGTTTGAACACATATCATAAAAAGAGATCACCGGATTATCTCCATCGCAATATGGCTAAACTTTCGTAATATTCTAAGACTAGATCTTGGCTTGCAGACAGTAATTCGGCCAATCTTGTATGCACAAAACGCTGATTAAATCACTCCACTTGTAATGTGATTGCGTACTGCAGTAAAAGGTCAAGGGAAAACCGCCGCTCATTTGGTTCGTTCATCAGTTCTGTTCACGTAATGTTCCCCAAGTTTTTTCAGCAACTGTTATGATCAGACCAATATACTGACACCCCAGAACACCATTTTCGTCTAGTATATATAAAACACTGTGAAACATTTGTAATAAAAAGCCATTCTACTGAGTCAATTTCTGTTACAGTGACAGTGAATCGCAAATACGATTACGGGGTTTAAAGAACCTGTCGTCGGTTTCTTCAAAAGGTTATCCAAAGTAATAACAGAACATCTCAGTGATTCCTGAGGCAAATCCGGAGCAATTACCCATGTTAAACGAAATACAGTTGAGCACATCAACAGACAACCCTGCTGTCGACTGGCTCGCTCAGAGTACCTTGTTTAAACGGTCTACAGCGATTCTGTATGCTTCATCATAGGATGACTACACCAACAGAACTACAGTAAGCAGTGTTGTTATTTTGATGCACTACGACCCAAGGTGGTTCGCCTCGGAGTTAAGTTTGAGCTGATTAGATTCAATCATGTAATTAAATAACCGGTGTCTTGATCAGCAAGCAGTCGAATGACCATCAACCTGTAGTCAACAAACCATACGGTTCTCATACGTGCAGCTACTGTACTTTCTACTATATGGGCTGAAATGGATCAGCTTTTCTGATTGACCTGCAAACTAGCGAGCATCCCTGATGGTTTCAAAAGGAGTAAGGGAATACGATTTTTCAGAGCACAGTTTTACTGACCATCCGAGAAGTTGTGGTCGACCGTTTCGACCATGTTTGGGTCTCAGGTGCACCTCACACGTCGAATCCACTACTCGTGTTATTTTGTTAGAAAACTATGGAATGGTAGGCCATACAATTAGCAACTGAACCATCGAGTTTCGATCATCGGCGCTCCAGAGATCTATGTGACGTATATTTTAACTATCGCGTTTGTGCTAGATGTGTCCGGACGACTATATTCTGCCAAACTACTTATCGGTAATACAGTTTCTATTCCCAACAGCAGCGTTGGTGAATTCTAGCGTGAACTGTTAGAGAAATCCTCCTGGGGCAGTCGATCCCCTGGATCATTTGATGAATTCCATATGAGACAGTGGGATGGCTGGATAACCGAGTCTAATTGTTAAATTTCCGAACTTTTGGCGTGTCTCCGCAGCTCAATTGGTAGAGTGCTTGCCGCGTTGAGGCATGGCGTTTCATTCGCTGGTTCGAATCCAGCCGAGACTCTAACTTTTCACAATTGGGTCTTGTCTAAAACCTAATATCTATGTATGGGTCACATGCATGATGCCAATGAAACCCAACAGGGTCGGTGTAGCTGTTCATCGATCTACTGGTGGTCACCACTGCAAACATTTTACCAAAATTTACCATATTCTATACAAGTCCACACATGTCCAAAGATCAGGTATCCCCGTTTGATCTTTTACACTAGTGTCGTAGAAGATAAATTCGCAACCTGGAGACGTGTCGGCGTATGTTTTTGAACACATTCAACCCAGAAACATTCACCACAAACGCGTGACTGCCACATTTATTTCCGACGTGGTTGAACCGTATCACTGATTATATTTCTTGAACAGAGAATACTTGCACTCGACCTCCTGACCATTTGTCATACAGCATAATTCGCTGAGGGTAATCATTTGCGAAATCCTATTGCACAATCGTTTCACATACTTCCAACAGACTTAAAAGTGGCGTCAGCATGTAAACAAAAGCAATCATGTCTTAATTAATACAAAGACATACAGACCAAACTGACTATGAGTGATACCCAAACTAAAGGATTTCTTTGGTAAACATGTCCCAACGGGAATTTTTATCCAGTTCACTACAAGTGCAATAATTTAGAATTATTTACCCAAAACCTACCAACTTAATGATTATTTTAGCCGATGAATCCCGGCTTTTAGACCGTGCTTATTGTCCTTTGACTGCTTCACATCATTTTCAGCCAACAATGTCCAATCATTATATGATAACAGAAACAGCGTTCGGTTCGAAGTATAACGTGATTGACCGAATTGCATAAGTCAGTTCTAACGTAACGACTCGTCTGTATGTACTGTAGACACATTCCTGCTAATTTGGTGTCTCACTTCACCAACCTACCTGATCGTGAGTGGTGATTAAAAAAGCCTGACTGGGCCTCATCATCCTCCAACCCATGAAGAATGTCGATAACTCACATTTTCATTTCTTGTGGGAATCAATTTATTACGTCAAAACCAGTCAAAAAGTGTATGTCCCTTGCCTTGTGTTTATTTGTGCGTATAAGTCACATGAATTTCCATATTTTCTGAGGAAAATGTTTTTTACGCCAGTCACTGGTTTGCCAATGATGAAGATTTGCAGAATGACTTTGTGGATTCACTTATCTTCTGATTAGTTAAGCCAAATGCCTGAAAGATGAAGTGCGCTCGGTTGTTTGTTTGCATAAAACGTTTTGAAACGTTCTTTCCCCCAAAAAATAACGGACAGTTGAGTCAATGATGCTGCTGGACCTGTTATGCGGTAGGCACAGGCAATGTAGTCTCAAATTCGATGACGGCATAACTTATGGAAAGTCATGATGCCATATTGCTCAAGTTTTTCTAGATCTTACAGATATAGACGCTCATATCATATAATAACATCCCATATGGTTAAACCAAACAGCAAGGACCATTCACATTGTTTCTTGGCTTATGCTGGACAACGAAGTCAAAGAATGTGTGATGTTAGTGATTTGACAGTTTGGTCACACACGCAAATATAATACGAGGATGGGGAAACAATGAACACGAGACAAAGGGACGGAAGTTTTCCAAAGACAGTCGTACAAGAGTGAGGTAAACGTTGTACATCCGGCCTGGATAACCTTCGTTAGCTTAATGATTATCTAGGATTCCTGGGTCACGGCCTACCTACCACGGTAGCTGTAACGTGGATACTAAGAGATGAACGAATTTGTTTAACTGCTAACACTTTGTCGAGTTGTCTTTGTGGTTACTACGCTGCTACCTTCAAGCACCGTTACTCTGTGTTCGATTGCAAACAGATACTTTACAACAGAAGAGGTTGGGTTTTGGCCATGTGTGGAAATACATTTCTCGTCAGGTTTTTAGTCTGAACGCACCGATGCAATTATAATGTATCAACCAAACCTGAGTGACTAGTAACGGCTTGGCCGTCCAAGCGTGTGCTGCAGTAAACGATTCATTTTTCTGAACGTAAAAGTTGAACTCCATACACGAATGATTTCTTTCAAAATCTCGATAGACGCTTCCGCTGAACCCTTTCCTTAACGAAATCCAGTAGTGAGTTTTGGCCTTCTCAGGGTTCAACAAACTCATCTAACAATTTTAATTTGAGCTATCTCAAACCTATCAAGTTATTAAACTTATGATTAAGAGCGGTTATGGAGTTGGTCGTCCAAGTTGATGTGTTCGGTCTTTGTTCGTCGAGCCTGACAATTAGATTGCAAACGTTTCAACTTCAAGCTAGATTATATCATCAGTGCGTATGCGCTTCAGCGTATGAGAGTGAGTGCCGTTATTGTTTAAGATCAACAAATAGCCGTCTCTACTTTCAAGTTTAGGATGATCTCTTGACCTGAACTGTTATTTATTACTCCCCGATGTCGTCGATTCTTTGACCTTGGGTCTGATTGGTTATCTCCATTTAATGTGGGCAAAAATTCCAGAATCGTTTGAAGAACTGCTCGAACATACCCGCTCAAGCACGTCAAATGTATTTTGTGTGGAAATCGTGGAATCCTGTACTAGGCACAAAATTAACAGTACAGTAGGTAAGACATGCCGACAAACAACATAATAAGTTTCTTGATGCAAAGCATTAACAAATAACAACGATACCGTTCTTGATTGAAGTACGGTCGTTTGATTGCAAGTTAATTTTATCAGTACTTGCCTCCGTCGCTAGCGGAACGACGGTAAATTCAGGCTAAGTCTGGTTTGACGAAGTGGCTTGTCGAAACACTGAATTGTTAAAGAGGCAAAACTAGACAGAGGTCTGAAGATAGCGATCGAATGATATCGAAGATTTGGTGAACACATGTTTTGTTAATAATGTTCTCAAGCATTGACGCAAAACAGAAGAGATGGACGGTTGTTTAGAAGAAGAAAGTATGATTTCTGAAAGCAAAACTGAACCAAAACATTGTTTTACTTCATAATCTTTGAAGATAATTGAATTAATCATTCCAAGATTCACGCATCTTAGTTGTGTACTTCAGAAAAACGTTACAAAAAGTGCGTGAGTTATTCGCCCTCATTTATGTCGCAATAAACCGTGCAGTCAAGCAGGTGCAACAGGCAAATCTTGATGTACCTTGAAACATTGAAACAGCTGATTCGATGTAACTGAGCTCCATTTATGTGAAGGGAGGGGAACTGACAACGAAATCAGTGTACTTACAGGCTTTGCGCAATGAGGAATGATTCCGTTCTTTTTCATTGTGTCGTCACGCTTTTGGTTGTCTGTGGTAGGTCCATATCGAGTTCTAAAATTACATAAACGCGAACCTAATGCGAATATTTGAGCAGCCAAAAAATATCCGCCGTCTTCGCGTCAACAGTGTGAAAATGTCATTTGTGCATGCAACGTTTTGTGAGTAAGAAAGAGTAGAAAGTCGCTCGAAATCACAAAATGTACATACCGCATCTGGACTGAATTATTTTCAATAGGTTAATTTAATTACGGTTGATAATAGCGTTTTCAGCACTGAAACTTCTCTTATACCACACTTTCAAACCGACAGGGCACTTGTTTAAACAAACAAGCTCTCGTTGTGTGAACTAATTCAGTATTTAATGCAACACAATCTCCGCCCCCCTTTTTGTTTCCCATGAACAATGTACCTTTTTTCGTATATTGTGTTCCTTCTCAAATCCGCCGTTATTTTTTAGCTGAAAGTTCATGTTTCAGTAGTAACACCGGTTAACGTTTGAAAAAAAAACATACCAAAGTCCATTTACTTTTCTCTTTCACACTGCCTCACTTTTATCTTTTAAAAACATTGTGATATTTGTTGTTTTAATCTTCAAAAGTCAACATTATCACATTTATCACTAAATATGGTCCACCTTCCACCGAACTTGAGTAGTGTTGAAGTTAGTTATTTAAGTAAACCGGGCAGGTGTTGATAGTTTTAAATAAATTCTACCCAAATTCCATTGAAGTCAACATACAGCTATGGATTCACACATGAAAATCAGTAACCTTTCCAACATATTCATCTGGTTGATTTAGATGGTACTGGCTTAGACGGTAGAAGTAGTTCAAAAGCAAATGACATGGCGCTTTCCATATCTGACGAGAAAGGATTAATATATTTGGTGGTACAATTCATGAATTTTCAAGAGGTTTAATCTTTCATAGTTAGGCTCGTTAGTGTGCAACTTCCAAAGGATACTATGTGACATGTTTGACTGCATACATTATATTGGTTGTTACGTTAATTTTTGATTCTACCTTGACAAAAGCCAAATCGAGTCACACTATCCGAAGAAATTAATCAGCGTTTCCTGAAGTTTACATGTTTACTTGTTCATCCGTAAAATAAACACAGTTCTGCACAATGAAGCGATACGTGTCAAGTGGATGATTATAATTCTTCAGACCTCTACATGACTCTTTATTGATCACATCAAGTTCCTATACTTCAGCTGAACTCATTTTTGTATCGTGTGTATAATGCCCACAATAATCTATGTCAGGCTTTAGACAGCTGCTTGTCTGTCCACTGTTCCATTCATGAGGAAACGCCTACATTTTCTTCTTGGAGAAACAAGTCTTCCATAAACATACACAACACACGATCTGGAGTTGGATTCGGCATAGACTATTCAGAAAGATGAAATGTGATTTTATTAAACCAAACCCGGCTAAGTATAGTAATAGCCATTTAGTGGTTTATCAACCTGTTGGTGAACAGTCTTTACACACTGGTAGTAAAAGTTCGAAGATTTAGGTTGTTTCACACTGAACACTATCCACATTTGATCGGAGCCTTCGTATTCAGGTAAGCCGTTCGGCTAGGCCACTTTCAAAGAAGGCAATAGACTCGACTTCGGGTCTTATTAGAGTTCATCGGTAGTACATGTCCTTTTCCGAATCGGTGTTTGCACTCTGACCCCCATTCTTTCAAGCGTGGCGTATCAACCACAATACCGGTAACCTCACAATAAGAGTGACTGAATTATCAAACATAAATGCTGAA